AATTTTTAATGATTGGTTGATAGATTTTAATACAGAAATGAAAAAGAAGAAGAGGAAAATTCTTCTTCTTATCGACAACTGTACTCCACATAATGAACCACCAAAATTGGATAATATTCGTGTGGAATATTTCCCACCTAACTGCACAGCTGTACTTCAACCTCTTGACCTCAATCATCAGAGCTGTAAAATCACGCTACAGAACTTTTTTGTTACGTCAAATCTTATGCGATTTGGAGAAAAATATCCAAAGAAAATGCAATGTGAAGGAAGCTATCGAATAGATATGCGGAGCTTGGGATGATATCAGTCAATCAACAATAACTAACTGTTGGAAACATACAACCACAACCAAAGACACCAATTCTGTTTCAGAAGTGGCCAAATATGATGAATCAAATACGCACGAAATCCAACAATCTGAGTTAGAGCAAATTTGGATCACTGCGAAAAAGAAAACGTCGCTTCCTGACGACGTGAATTTAGAAGATTATCTCGGTGCAGATGACAACGTTTCAACATGTTATGAACTAACCGAAGTAGACATCATTCAATCCATTAAAGACAGCAAGATGAGGTCACCGATGAAAGTAGTGGAGACGAAGACGAAGAAGCTGTGTTGGGAAATGATGTGCGCAATGTCACTTCATCAGAAGCCTTTTCAAGTTTGGAAGTAATGCGAACATTCATTACATCACAGAGTGATGTACCGGACTTCATATTTACAAACATTCACCAAATACAAAATTATTTACTTTCTATTAAAACAGCAAACCTTGTTCAAAAGAAAATTGATGATTATCTATAATAAAGTTATTTATTTTTTCGCAAATTATTTACTTTTGTTAAAACTGTCAATTATTTATGTATAATAAAGTTATTTATTTTTTCGCAAATTATTTACTTTTGTTAAAATTGTCAATTATTTATGTATAATATAGTTATTTATTTTTTCCGCAAATTATTTACATTTGAATTTTTTATTTATTACATATTTACATACAATTTGTATTTGAATCACATAATTTTTTTAAATTTGTTTTTATTTCAAATTTTCAAAATTTCGTTACAACGAAATTTCCGTTATAACGAAAAAAAAATAAGTTCCCTTGGAGTTCGCTGTAACGGGAACTTACTGTATTTATATTTATAAATATACCTTATCTCTTGTATCGGTGATTTTGGTGTTATTATATATTTTTGTGCTCACATATCAACATTTGTGTCATATTCGGCAGCTTAAAATAATTTCATTATGTTTCTGTAATTGTTATTTGTCACAAAACTACTTTATAGGTAGTGAATATCATATCCATTTATTTCTTATCTTGTTTTTAATAATTAATAATTCGTTATTTCAACTGTAATATTACATTTTTACTATATTCTTAATAAATTATTTCATTTAATTTACAATGAACGTGTTTTTCTGGGTACATTTTTTTTTTAATTAACATAAAAATTGCAAGGCAGCAAGTGGGTCTTAATTTGGTCTTGGTCTTTGTCTTGGTCCTGCTGCAAAACCAAGACCAACTTTGCTCATCACAAATCATACTTATTATTTTAACCAATGGCGCAAAATAAAAAGAACCACTAGCATAAAAAAATATTTTATGATCACAAAATAAATATATAATAAATAAATAATTTATTGTTTTCTATAATATTTCTCTCAAAAAATATTAATTATATAAAATTAAATCTATAATTTTCATATTTATTAAATCTGTATAACTTATAATTAACATAATTATCTATTAGTCATTGTTATTTCAATAAATTTATGTATATTTTATTTTTTATTCGATCTTTTTAAATTGTTTAAATTGTTAAAACTTAAGAGGAGTATTGTTATTTGTTATTATTTTTAATTCTAATTTTATCTTATTGTTTTAAATACAATGAAACACTGTTATTTGGTAATATTTTTAATTTTAATTCTGTTTATATTTAAAGAGAATATTGAAGTTAATTTAATTTTTTTTTTTTTTTATTTAAAAGATTTCTGACTAAAATTATACTATAAAAATACAAATTAAAAAAAAAATTTTAGTTATTAATTTATATATTTTTTGTTTATTTATTAAATACTTGTTTAATACCTAACCTAACGCAATAGTTTATTTGCAAATAAAATTGTGTACTTACAAATATAAACTAATGCTTATATTATGTAATATCAGTTACCTATCGGTAAAAAGTGGAATTGACCCATCCATAATATTTATGGATTATACGTTTTTATCCACTATTTGATTTTTAACAAGTGAATGTACTTGTCAATTGTTAATAGATAACATCACTACATATTATTCTGGTAAATATGTAAAATTAATTTCTATACTTTTTTTTATTATCTTTTAATTAATTGAAAACGTTCGATGGAAGTGTGAAATGATTAATTTATCAACCTATTAAAACTCTATAGGGAATATATTGCTTTCGTCGAATACAATATTATGACATTGACACCACATATAGTAGGTAAAATGAAAAAAAACTTTATTTGGACATTGGATTTATATTCTCTCTGATGACAGTCTAGATCTAGCATATACATAATATAATACAAATTGGATTGTAAACGAAGAATCAATAACAATAAACTACCCGGTGTGCAAAATCTTATAGCATAGTAGTCGTATAGTTGTCACACTGATGGTTGAGAAGTTACATAAAATATTATGAGATTTAATTATTTTTAATATTTATTCAGAATAAGTACTTACGTTGTTCTTCGATAATTTTAACAGAAAACAATGTCCAATCTTTTGCTGGATTTTGTGCCATTTTCATCATTGAATCGGTTATACTATGTTTTTTTGGCCATTGACAAAGTACATTTTCATTAACTCTGATTAACCAATTACATGGTAGTACTGAGTACTTATTTTCTTCTTCAAATAAGCCTACTGACCATGACTATAGGAACAAATTAAATAATGTATAGAACAATATACCTACAAGAACTGAGAAGTATGTCATTCCATTAGCTAGAGCAAATATTTACATGGTAAATTAATTATTATTTAAATATTAATTAATTTAATACATATACTATATAATACAATACATATATTAATATTATTTTATTGGCAATTGTTTCTATTTATAATGCTCAATTACATTTTGATTCGTATAATGATTTGTTTTTTTTAATTATTGACGTTTTTATTTTATATTTATATCTATCCAATATTTTATAATATACAGATTAATGTGTTGGATGAAAGGTAGTGGATGTATTTAATATATTATAATAAAAATATAATTATATAAAATTATATATATATATATATATAATTATGATAAATATAATTACCTGTTTTGAAGCCATTATAATTCTTAATACTTAAATTCTGCGTAGAACTGCAACAGTGCAACGTATTAATGTATTATACATGTAGTATATTAGTATGTAGTATGTTGACTACGATCGTTGTTATTCAAACATAAAACGTAGAATGAATAAAATTTAATAAAATAGCGAATGATATTACTTGATATGATGTGGGTAATACCCTTCACGATAACTCTATAATTTATTATTATTTAGCCGCAACGCATACAACACAACAATAAATGCGCGTTTTTCGATTTATTTTGTTCATCATACTATTATGGTCATTATAGGCATAATGAAAATGTTAAATATAATCTTATTTTGTAGATAATTTATATAGATCTACCAATTCGACAAAAACCTCTAGTCCTAGAGGCGCAACCGGTGCCGTTTGTATTATTATTTTGGTTATTACTATTGTCTATGTTTCGTTAATTTTAAGATCGCAAGAAAACGTTATATACATATATTTTGGTCTTTTATTTTTTACTTAACATGGTCATTAATCATTACAAACTGAACTACGCATGGAATTCCTTAGTGTAACTAGATTATCCCGAACTTCATGCGATGACACATAGAAATTGAAATGTGTAGTCGATTTTGGGACCCAAACAGTACTTCGTATACAGATTAATAATTTACATTACATTTTCAATCTAAATGTGCCTACGTATAGAACAGTGGCGTAGCCAAGGGGGGGGGGCTAAGGGGGCTTAGCTTCCCCCATGGGCCATGTTTATATGTATAATGTATCTTGACTATTTAATGGAATCAATGCTCGTTTTAATCAAAGGCTTATTGATGTTATGCCACTTGAAGGACTTATTCCGGCCAATTTAAATATGTATGACGATAAAAATATTATAAAAGCTGCTAAAATATATGTCCAAGATCTCCATGATGATAACTCATCTACAATCAGGGCTGACCTATTCATATGGAGGCAACAATGGAGTCAAAATACTATTCCAAAACCGAATTCTGCTCTTGATTCACTCTCTCATCGCACCAATCTTCGACCTAACATTAAAATACTTTTACAATTATTCGCCACGTTACCAGTTACCTCTTTCACTCTGGAAAGAACGTTTTCAGCACTTAATCGCTTAAAAAATTTTTAAGAAGCACCATGTCGGAAAACAGACTGAATGGGTTAGCTATGGCTAATATAAATAAAAAAGAGCAATTCCATGAAAGTGAAATAATAACTGAATTTGCCAGAAATTCGCCTAAGAGAATGCAGCTGTCAAAGTGGAGCAAATGACTGAACACTGAAACCAAAATTATTATTATTATTATAAATTATATATTAATAAATATTTTTAAAACTATAATAAAATGCTTGAATTACGTTTAGAAACTTGGTGGTAGATGGTGGGGGGGGGGTTTAAGGGTGAATTCTCATATCCTCTCTTACCTTACTTATCCAAAAAAAGTGGTTAGCCCCCCCCCATTTAAAAATCCTGGCTACGCCACTGGTATAGAAGTCTTTTTTGCGATAAGTTTTTAGTGATGCTCATGAGATGGCTAATGGATATAAAACGGAGAAGTCACATTTGAGATTTAAACAGAATATCACATAGTAGTGGGAGTCATACTATTGCACATCGGGTATACTATACATTCAATATACTTAATTGCATTCTTCCAATAGGTTATGTGGTGGGACGTGCGAAAGCTCACGGAACCCACTGAGGTGATAATATTGGATTTATCGAAAAACGAGAATGACGGCGAACCGGAATGGAGTAGAAAAGCTCGCACCCACGGAGTGACTTGTATGGATTACGATTCATCGATCCCGATACGTTTCATGGTATGTACTGGTGTAGTTTATTCGTTTTTTAGTAGGATATTATTTCTAAACAATATTAATGACGGTACACTCTTTAAAATCCTATCTTGATTTTTAACTAGGAATATTTCGTTCATGTCGTTACCCGATAAATGCATTATATAAGCTTGTGGTTTTCAAACTTTGAACCATCTGATTGTATTTTTAATACACATTCAAGGCCATGCGAAGGGCGGGGGGCAACAGGACCATTTTTCTCCAAGCCCCATTTTTGGAATATTTTTTAAGTGTCCCTATAAAGTCTTGATGTATAATTGATGTATAATAATTAATATTAAAGCCCCGAATACACTGAGCAATTTTGTTTATCATATCTTATTACTATGGTCAAAGGACTCCCAAATTAATTTGCCCCTGGCCCCAAAAAACCTTGTAACAGCCCTGTTAAAACCATTAATTGTGCATGTTGATCAGACTTAATATAAATATCTGTGAGTTTTAGTCAGTTATAAAACTACAGGTTGCATAACTTATATATGAACGAAAAATCTTTTTTGTGGGAATGATTTAAAATTAAACATTTTTCAGAACTTATTAATACTATATTCGAGGTTTAAAAGTAAATGTTAATAAATGTTCAAAATCCAATGCATACAATTATTAATCTATTACGTATAATATAAAACGGTAAAATATTATATCCTGATTAAAATTTTTTTTTTTTACTTTATAGATTGGCACAGAAACTGGATTGGTGTTTAACGGCAATCGTAAGGGCAAAACCGTATTGGAAAAGATTTCAGCTACTTATTACTGTCATCACGGCCCCGTGTATTCAGCAAAGCGGAATCCCGCGTTCTCGAAAAACTTTTTGACAGTCGGTGACTGGCAAGTCCGGATATGGTCAGAAGACGTCAAGGAATCGCCTATAATGTGGACCAAGTATGTACCGTGGTATCATAAATATTTTATCACTAACGGAACGTGTAAGATTTGGAATTAAACAACATTTATATGTATATTTATTTGTAGACATCACGAGGTGCGGTTAACCGATGGCGCTTGGAGCGAATCGAAGCCATCGGTTTTCTACACGACCAGAGCGGACGGATTTCTTGAGTGTTGGGATGTGTTGCAAAAGCAAAGCGATCCAATAATGACAATGAAGGTTCTCGACGGGATAATGAGGGGGGGAGGTAGATTCATATCGCGCGACAAGTAACGTTCATTCGTTTCCGTTCAGGTGGCGGACCAGGCGCTGAACTGCATCAGATGTCATGAAGGAGGTGCTTTGTTGGCGGTCGGCGGCAACTGCGGTATAACGTATGTGATAAAAATGAACGATTGGTTCGTGACGCCAGGAAAAAACGATCGGGCGCTATTGATGACTGTGAGTCACGCGCGTGGACAAACCATGCTCATCCAGTCTGGGGGCGTATTTTAGGGGAGGAAGGAGCGATCACCCCCCTCTGAATATGTATTTAAAGAATCGATTATATATGCGAGAAGCACATTTTAAATTTTTTTAATGTGAATCATTTTATGACGAAATCAATTTACGCGTGGCTGTGAATACTAAATTGGGCTTTTTGTCGGGTCCATGCTTTAGTGAAAAATTAAATAAAACATAAGCGTACATTTCAAGACACAGACAGGTGTTAAAAAAAAACTACACAAAAGTCGATTATAAGTGGATCCGCCATTAGATAAAAAAAATAACCACAAATATTAAAGATTTACCAGATTTAAATTACCAAAAATTTTACTTGTACATTTTAAGCCTGAATTAAAGAAAAAATTTGAGTCGCCCCCCCCCCCCTAGAAATAAGTTTAAATACTTCCCTGATCCCACCGTGGACTGTTGATAGGTAAGGTGTGTTGTTATTAAGTGTTTCGCCAACAGATGTTCGACCGCGAGACGAAACGGGAGAAAATAATCGAAGCGAAACAACGAGAATTGAAATTGAAAACCAAATCGTCGGCTAAAGCGGACACTGCGATGGCAAAACTTAAATACGACAAATTAGTCGAAGCCGAAGCCCGGATGATCGCGGAGGCGGAAAAAGAATTCGACGATCTAATCGCAACAATCGTAATCACCGTACATTTATGTACTATACGCCTATAGACAGTGCCGGATTACTTGTTAGGTGGAGTAGGTGCCCACCTTAGGGCCTCTCTCATTTAAAGGGCCCTGTGAAAACGGAAAACCATATATTTTTTTTTTTTTTTTTAATAATACCTGTATTTTATTTACGAATTTACGGGACAAAAGTTATTATAAAATATAATGTATATAATGTTGCAGGTATTATATGCGGTAATAATAATGAAATTATTTTGAAAAAAATAGATAATTATAATTAATAATAATTAATTAATTTTCTTGCAAATAAAAAAAATTAATAAACATATTTTATTTATTATTAATAATTGGTTATTATTAAAGCTGTTAGTTTTAATTATTGGATAGTAATTTTAATTAATGATTAGTAATGTTAAAAATGTATGTAAAAAATAATTTTGTTGGGCACTAAGTTTTAATTGCCTAGGGGCCCACAAAAAATTAATCCTACACTGCCTATAAATATAGACTTTTTAGAAATTATACGAATAAGATATATATCTATAAAAATCAATATATTTAAAAAATAATGTTTGTGTATTTGCAGAATGAACAATTGATCGATGACAACAATGACAACAAAAACAAATTAAAAAATCGAGTAGAAGTGGGTGCTGATGAACTTCAAGATCAAACAAATGTTCAATAATATTTTGAACCTAGAATATTTATTCTATAATTACCCTGTTGTTTATACTAATATATTGAATACTGTTAAAAGGCCATTATTTAATTTACTTACACTGAGGTCTATACGGTATTTCAGTATTAACCTCAAAGCTACCTTATAAGAATAGTTTATGGTACATATGATATTATACAGTATAATAATTTTATTATTTTAGGCAAAAATTATAATTTTAAAACACAAATTGCTTTTAAATTATTTGTATACAGTATCGTCAAAATTAAATAACGCACCCAAGTACAAGCCAAACATCTATAATGATGTAAATATAGCGATATAACCATTAACCTGGTAACATACTGTAAAAATAAAATATCGAATGCTATACCAGTTACCGTATAATTACAAATGTATTAGGGTGATCGTTATTTATAAGTCATTTTTTTTTTTAAATATTATTCCGTATCCCATAGATTTGTTAAGTTACACGAGAAAGTAATTTTGATAACATTTAGAAGATGTGAATCAACCCCTGCTGGTGCCGAATCATGGTTGAAATATGGCAATTTAGGCTGGTATTACTGTTTTTTTAATTTTATTCAAAGACTATAGCAATTAGAGGTGGGAATTTTCGGTCTTTTGAATGATTCATATTTATAATATATAATATATAATAGATATTTATAAACAAAAAAAAAAAAGAATAAATAAAAAAAAAGTATAAAAGTTTTATAACAACCAATTGTAAAAAAATTTCTGTTGTTCTAGTACATCAAGATATGATATTAAATTATGCAGATCACACTAAAAACTTAGTAACTAATAGAAACAAAGTTAAATTTTCTATTTTAAGTTATCGTTATATGAAATATACAGATGAAGGACTTTATGCTAGTATCTCAGTAAATTCAACAACTGAAGAAAATTTCATTCTTCAAAAAATAAATACTCAATTAAATCTTACACTACCATCAGAAAAACTTTATAATGGACCATTAGCTATAAAACCGGCTAAGCTCAAAGATATAAACGATCTTAGTTCAAAATATGTACCTAGTGAATATTTGTGGTATATATAGCACTACAATCAACAAATATTCAAAATGATATTATTGAATGATATTATTAATTCCGGTTTGGATACTAATGAAGATTATTAGAATGTTATTTTTTAATATTAACCTATACTATTCTAGGAGTATTTATTTTTATTTTTTAACACAATGTTTCTAACATTTAATACTAAGAAAGTATTTATATTATATAAAATGTCTGACTGAGATTATGTTTTTGTTTAAGTTTTGTTCTTTAACACATCGTTTTTATTATTTTATACTAAGTATGTGATGATATTATTTATAACTTGTGACTGAGATTATGTTTTTGTTTAAATTGTATTGTTTATTACATTGAATTTCAATATTAAATATTCAACGAGTATAATGACACAATTTTTTTCTTACAAAGTTCCAAAAAAAAAAAAATTAATAAATTAATGCTTTAAAAATTATAAGATTAATATAATATGAACATAATCTCATAAATTTATTTTTTATGTATAAACTCCTTCCCTTCAAAAATGTTTTTATTGCTCCTCTGTTTGGGAGGGTTGGAGACAGAACCTCTTCTTGAAATATGTAGTGTTGGTACTTAGTAGTTTTTTTCAATCTTAAGAACTACTTGATTCTTATTTTTGTTCAATCATTTTTTTTAGATGAAACATCCCTTCTCCCCCTAAAATGTTTTCTTACTACGCCCCTGTAAGGGTAGAATTAATTAATATACAGGTTATTTATACAATATTATAAGAAATAATACATTTTTCATATTAATTACATTATTTTATACATTAAAAGTAAAAAAATATTTTTACGGTTCAACAATAAGACATCTCCAAGACTTAATTAAATTTTTTTTTGAGTATTTAAAAATACATTTTTTATAAAATTAATTATAATCATTGCCAAGGTATTTGAATAAATTTTTTGTACATTTTTAAAACAGTTTTTTGTTTCTCTTGAAAAATTTAAAAAAGTGGATATGTTTTTTTGTAGCCTAATAAAAAAAGTAATGACTTGAAGTGGAAATCAAGGGAGAGGCCACAAAAAAGATGGATGGACAGCGTTAATGAGATATGGAATGCAGCAACCCATGGTGGGGCGGATTGGCAAGTTATAGCGTATAGGTATTTTGACAAAATATAAATATAATATTTTAACTTTTTCAGATTTGAATATTGATGCCTATATTACAGAACAACTTAATTATTTATTTGATAGTGGCGCATAGCAAGTGTTGATGAAAATGTTAATAGTGTACAGAATCAGAATAAAAATAATATACAATGTAAAGCGTCAAGCCTTCTTTAATCTTTTCGTTCTCGTACTTCGTGCCTCGTGGTGTTCGTAGTGTTCGTACTTTCGTGTTTCGTAGTTCGTAGTTTTCGTACCTCCGAAGTCAGATTTAAATTTTGCAGTTCGCTTCGCACAATCGCACATGATGTCGAAACCCAGGAGTGTGATTTGGGAATATTTTGAAAAAACGCCGAACGCAGAAGTTGTAACATGCAAACTATGTCACGCTTCAGTCAAACCATGTGGTAACACAACCAATATACGCAACCACATAAAAAGAAATCACCCTTCAATTAAACAAAGCAAGGGTGCCGTTGTAAGTAAGATTGGCCGAATATCACACTCAGTGGCAACTAGTTCCACAGAACCACTAGCAGAAAATGTTGACGATCCTGATGTAGTTACAGATGACATTGATTTTGCTGAGGTAGCTAGAATCATTTTAACTAAGGTAAGATACTAAGATGCAATATTACTAATAATGTGCTTAAAACATTAACCAATTTTTTTTTTTTTTTAATATAGGCTCAACAAAAACAAGGGACACTTCATTTTGCTTCAACATCTTCAACTTCTTCTGGTATTGTAGACAATGATTCATCATTCAGTTTTAGTAGCAGTAGATCTCCATCTGTTCAGTCAATACAAACCACATCCGGCACATCCTCATCAAATACTCCACAGTCAGCGAACTTAAGTCTTAATAGGCAACGCACAATATCTGAGTCCATTTCGAATATCAAATATTATGATAGTAAGAGTACATTTTATAATTCTTAGCTATAAAATTATAATAAATTGTCTACATTGTTTTTGAAGGAGGATATAAGACACGAGCCATCACGGATGCACTGATCTACATGGTTGCTAAAGATAATCTGCGTTATCAATAACAGAAAAACAGGGCTTTCAATTTTTCATGCAGAAAGCAGCTCCTATGTACAAGGTTCCATGTAGGAAAACCTTAACTAAAATGATGAAAAGTAAATATGAAGTTTTATCCACATTAATCAAATCCAAACTAGGTCTTGTTGATTACTTAACCTTAACATCGGATATTTGGACTGACACACTAAATACAACGAGTTTTTTGGGAATGACTGCGCATTTTTTAAGTTTGGATAAAGTTACTCTTGACAGTGTCACAATTGGTGTGTTGGAGTTGTCTGCCAGCCATACAGCTGAGAATATTACCATTTGGTTTGAACATATTCTTGTTTAATGTGGTATTAAAAAAAGCCAGATTTTCACCGTCGTCACCGATAATGGGGCAAATATATTATCTGCCGTAAATAAAACTTTTACCCCCGATAAACATTTGCCATGTTTTTCCCACACCCTCAATTTGGTTTCTGAAAGGGCACTGGCAAATCTTCCCGATGTGCATCATGTAATAAATAAAATTAAAAGTATTGTAACATTTTTCAAGCAATCGGTAGCGGTTTCCGACGAACTTAGAAAATTGTGCGATTTCAAATTAAAACAATCGGTATCAACACGTTGAAACTCAATTTATTTTATGATTGACAGATTCCTTTTATGTTTGAACCACATAGCTTCAGTTTTAATTAATATTCGCCGGGGTCCCGAAATGTTGACAGTTGATGAAATTGATATAGCGAAGGAGATGTTGTTAGTGTTAAAGCCAATGGAGGTGGCAACAAGGGAATTATGTGGTCAAAAATATGTTACAGGCAGCACAGTTATACCCTTAATTAACTGCCTTATTAAAAAAACATAGGATATTGATTTAACCCATCCAACAGCTTTAACCTTAAGGAGAGCTATTTTAGACAATTTAAATAAAAGATTCGGTAGGATGGAGGAGAGAAGTCTACTAAGCATTTCAACCATATTAGATCCTAGATTTAAAACTATTCATTTGAATAACGCATTAGCCTGTTCAAGAGCTATTAAATGTATTAAAAATCAAATTATTGAAATCAAAAGTAATTGTGATGAACCTAGCTCCTCAAACCAAGGCTCTAATGATGATAATGTTGAAAATAGTGATAGTTTGTGGTCAGTTCACAATGAGTTGGTTACAAAAAAAAAGCTGCATCACAAAGTTTAGAACAGTCTAAAGAGCGAATTCCTACCGAACTTAAGCATTATTTAAACCAGCCCACAATACCGTTAGGTGATGACATTCTAAAATATTGGGATATAAATGGCAATATGTTCCCTCTTTTAAAAAAAAATTGTACAGCCATATTTGTCCGTAGTAGCAACTTCCGTCCCTTCGGAAAGATTATTTTCTAAAGCGGGAAATATAATGACTGAAAAAAGAAACCGATTAAAGGGGGAAGAAGTTGCAACAGCTTTTATTTCTGAGTTCCCTAAATTTTGAAGACTGGCACATAGAATAAAAGTAATTTATCTGTACAGCCTTTTGTATATTATATAAGTTGTAAATATGTGTACCTAATATAATGTATCTGTACAGCCTTTTGTATGTATAATTTGTAAATATGTATAATGTAATTATCTGTATATTATTTGTTAATATGTACAAAACGTTTAATGAATCAATAGTGAGCTAATGGTACCTTAAACAAGATTAAGTGGCCCACGATTGGTAATTAAAATTTAATAATTGTTGTAAAAAAATATGTGAAAGTACCAATGATACAATAAATAAAAAAAAAACACAGTGTTTACCATAGTCATTGTTGTGTTATTTATCTACCTTCATTAAATACCTTAATCTTAACTCATTAAATTTAAACTTAAATTGTATCAGATTCTTACTTATTATATATTACATTATATGGTGACACGTCAAAATATCCCGGTCAAAATATCCCCGACAAAATATCCCTAAACCAAAATATCCCCAACAAAATATTCTATGACAAAATATCCCGCGTAAAAATATCCTCGACAAAATATCCCCGACAAAATATAATATAATAACTGTTGCGATTAGAAGTAACAATCGCACTTTATCTAATCTAGTATTATTCATTATTTTGATAATGGTAATATAGTGTGTCATTTTATATCATTACCTAAAGTGCGTGTCGTGAGCATTTAACAGTCTTAAATCAAATTATTTAACTAACATTTTATATTTAATTAAAAAATGCTAGAATTTATTAAAAGCCAAAAAGGCAATAATTTACTAATATTTGAAGGATATTTATTTAGTATACATCAAAAGAGTGAAAAAATAATAATTTGGCGTTGCACTGATTATAAAAGAAAAAATTTTTTGGCAAGATGTTACACAACCACAGACGACGAATCAGGTTTGTTGATTCATGATTACATTTTAGGACGCGGATATAATAATATATATAATAATAAAATATAAGATTTTTAATATCAGATTTTTAAGTAATATAAAATTGATGACGATTGTAAAACAAATACTGCTCGTACAATTATTCTTAATAGGCCTGGATATAATAATATTATATTGTCATATACGTATTGTCACAATTATTATTAATATTTTTGTAGGGGAATTCCTTGGTAAGAGAGGAGATCATGAACACGCTCCAGATGCAGCCGGATTAGAATCAAAGAAGGTATAATAGAACGAATAAAAAAAGCTAGTGATTCTAATCAGACAACAAGAAATATTATAAGTGAGGCATTTTCTCAATCACCTTTACCAATTGTAGCTAGGTTACCTTCAACTGTTGCGCTTAGTCGAACAATTCAACGTTCTCGAAATCGAAATAATGTACCTCCGCCCAACCCTGTGACTGTTGATTCTTTAGTAATACCTAGAGAATACACATTAACCTTAAGTAATTTACCTTTTTTGCTATATGACAGTAAAAAATAATGAAAATTGGGATATTAATAACAGAATATTGATATTCACAACAAATGAAAATTTAAATATACTGAATGTCTCCGAAATATGGTTCGCAGATGGAACGTTTAAATCTGTACCCAATATATTTTATCAGCTGTATACTATTCACGGTAACATTGACTGCACTGTATATCCACTTATATATATATTAATGTGTAATAAAAACGAAAATAGTTATTCCGAAGTACTAAATCAAATTAATATACTCAAATCAAATTTACGACCAAAAGCTATTGTGATAGATTTCGAACAAGCATTTATAAAATCATTTAAAGAATTATATACTGATGTTAAAATACATGGATGTTTTTTTCATTTTACCCAGTGCTTATGGCGAAAATTGCAATCGTGTGGATTAAAGAACAGGTATTCCACAGACGCAATATTTGCCCACGAAATAAAAAAATTATCGGCTCTTGCTTTTGTACCTGTTGATAATGTTATTTCTGCATTTGAAGAATTAATTAACTCCAACTACTACGTAGACAATGAAGAAGAATTACGAACATTTGTTGATTATTTTGAGGACACGTGGATTGGGAGACCAACACGTGGTGGTAGGCCAAGAGCGTCTACTTTTCCAATTAAAATATGGAATATGTTTGATTCTGTAACGGAAGACTCTCCCAGGACAAATAATGCAGTAGAAGGATGGCACAGAGCGTTTAATTCTGCACTTGCAGCTAACCATGTAACAGTGTGGAAGTTCATAAATATGTTAAAACGAGAACAAGGTCTGCAGGAGGCCAAAATGGAGCAGCAAACAGCAAGTGCACCTCAACAAAAAAAAAGGCGAAAGTATAAAAATTTGGACGAGCGGTTAATTGCTGTTGTAAAAGGATATGACGAAACCAATAACAATAAATATTTAAAATCAATAGCACATATTTTAGTATAAATTTTTTAATTCATTTTTTGTATACCTTAAATGTATTAATATCTTTATGTAATTTATATTTTATATTATCATAATAAGTGTAATAATTTTTGACGAAAAACATACCATTTTAATATATTTTTAAAAATATCTTGATTTTTGTATTCAGTAAATGTATTAATATCAATGTAACTTGTATAAAAAGGTTTACATTTTTAATTATTAGTTACGTGGGATATTTTGTCGGGGATATTTTTACGCGGGATATTTTGTCATAGAATATTTTGCCAGAGATATTTTGGTTTAGGGATATTTTGTCGGGGATATTTTGACCGGGATATTTTTACCGGGATATTTTGACGTGGAACCACATTATATACTTTGGTACTATTTTATGTTAATGCTAGACGTTGTTGGGGAGTAACTTAACTTAAGTTATAAGTTACTGTAACAAAATTATTTTTTAAGTAATTTGATGGTAATTTAATTACATTTTACTGTAAGTAATGCAAATGTAACTTAAGTTACTTGTTTGTATTAATTATTACTAAATTACTGGTTACTTTTTTTTGTTATTTAACTATTTTAAAAAACATGCAAACAATATTATTTTTTTAAAGTATAATACGGCTTTACCCTCAATTACTTCTGTTGAACTTTTGTTTAGCATAGCAGAATATAATATATATATGCACTACAAAGTGATCTAAAATTAGTGATTGTAATTTTAAAAACGCAATGTTGTTTAAAATAAATTTGAAAAATAAAGATTAATATTCAATGTGCAGCAAAATTAGTATAAATTATTAATAATTTCTTATTGTTGATTGTCATTATTTTGTTTGTGTATTGC